CTCTGAAACACTTCCTTTAGTAATGTGTCATTTATAGTCTCTAAGGAAGATAGAAAAAAAGAAAACAGAAAATGATGACAAATCACAGCTATTTCATTTCCTCACTTAAATGTATATTTTAAGTTCCTAGAAAGTAAGAAGATACATTTTACTAGTATATGCTCCAAGGTACCTGTAACAGTAATACTTAGTAAATATGGTATCCTTAAACTTGTGATGTAGGTAGTTTTGCGGATACTTTTGTATCTAAAACATTTCAAGTTTAGTCCTGCCTCAGTGCCTTTGCACAGCAAATGTTCAGAATCCTCATCCCTCTGATCTTTTCAAGGCCTTTTCATGTTATTTGGATTGTAAATTAACTATCTCAACCTCCTCCTTAGAGAAGTCTGACTGGCCTGTCTGAAGTGTTCACTAAGTTACTCACCCTCATATACTGTTTGAATTCTCAGTGTAATGTATTTTATAATTGTTCATCAGTTTATTTGTTTATTTCCCTGACCTCACCACTAAAATGTAAGCTCCATAAGAGTAAGGACATAGTATGTCTTATTTGCAGCTAAATCTTCCGTATGTGTAATAGGTGCTCCATAAATATTTGTTAAATTGTGAAACTACAGTTTTTAAAGTAACTCATGCCTACCGTAAGTTTCATTAAAAAAATATATTTGGTGTCTGATTTGTTCTAGGTATTGTGTTGGGTGCTTTCATATACTTTTTTTGTTTGTTTGTTTGTTTGTTTTTTGAGACGGAGTCTTGCTCTGTGCCCAGGCTGGAGTGCAACCTCCGCCTCCTGGGTTCACGCCATTCTCCTGCCTCAGCCTCCTGAGAGTAGCTGAGACTACAGGCGCCCGCCACCACGCCCGGCTAAGTTTTTGTTGGTTTTTTTTTTTTTTTTTTTTTTTTTTAGTAGAGACGGGGTTTTAACATGTTAGCCAGGATGGTCTCGATCTCCTGACCTTGTGATTCGCCTGCCTCGGCCTCCCAAAGTGCTGGGATTATAGATGTGAGCCACCACGCCCGGCCCATATACATTATTATATTTAATTTTAATCCTCATAGGAACCCTTGCATACATACTATTTCACATATTTAATAAAAAGAAATAGATAGGAGTTATATAACCTTCCTTCCCAAAGTCATACATCTGTGGTTAGAGCCAGGATAAAATTCAGATCTTCTGAAGCCATATGCAGAATAACAGTGGAAAGCTAACATGTTCACAAACTGTTAATTATTATTAATTTTAAAAAATAAGTTATATTACATATTTAACAGAGGGCTAGGACTACTGCAAGCACTTAAAGGCATTATTTCATAGACCTTACAACTACCCATATAACATTATTATCTTCACTTTACAAATGAGGAAACTTACGGTTCAGAGAGATCAAGCAACTTAACTTATCTGGAGTCACAGAACTGATGACTGGCAGAAATGACACTGAAATTGAAGCCCGTTTTATTCTAAAGCCTGTGCTCTTAACCACCAACTGTCTGCCATGCCCTAAGCTGTACTGCTATCTCGTCTTCATTACATAAGCCAGAAAGCCTCTGTCCTGAAGGATTCCTCAATAAAAAATGATTTTTTAATCTCAGAAAATGTGTTAATATGATATATGTATATATAAATAACATTCATATTAAAAATTCTTCTGTTCCCTAGCTTGCATTTCAGCTTTTTGTAAAATACATTATAACATTGTGATTGGATTAATCACAGCTTCTCCCTTATATAACATGATGTTATTTTATATATATATATACACACACACACACACATATATATGTGTGAATACATTAGGGTAATGATATTCTATTTTTTACCTATTTCTAGTATGGTAGGTTTTTATGGAAAAATTAATTTGCAAAAAAAAAAAGCTATTCTCTAAAATACTATTTACTGTTACAGGATTTCTAAATCTGAAAGAAAGTGAAAAAGTATCATATACAAAGAAATGTAGTTTTCCTTATCAACTATTTTGATATAGTCCAAAAGTATGCCAAATTTAATTACAATATATTATTATTGTACTCATTTAAGTTCTGTGTTCAGGTACTTTTACCAATATTAATTTGCTTATAGCTAATCAACCTGTTTTTATATTTTAAATTTTTCTAAGTTATTTTACATTTGTTATTTTTGGAGCATCAAAAATTATCCTGTGAGATAATCAAGGTATACACAACTTTTAATAAGGGTCTACTGAATTCCTTTTTCAAATTTCTAATTTTTTCCTCCCCTTTTATCATAACTGGTTCTAATGAAGGTTTGATTCTTTCATGTTAAGAGCTATTTTTCTCTTTTGCAAAAAGTTTGATTTGCTGGAAGTTCTTTAAATACCATCTTTAAGTAAAATTAAGCAATAAATATTATGATTGTAAAATATTTTCCTCATTTATTGATGAATATGAAAAAGTTTTCTGCATTTTAGTAACATGAAGACATTATGTTCCTCATTAAGAAAATATGATGTTAAATATAAATTATTAGTTTTTAAAAGGTAGAATTGGGGAACATAATAAATAATTAAGAGAAAGTAGAATGTAATGGGAATGTCTTTAACCCAATAACTGGTAAAGCAGTTCTCTTACTTAAGTAGAAATAAAAAATTTGGCAAATTTATTACTGTCATCACTCCAAGTCACAGTGAACATTTTATAGAGTAGCCAGTTTAGGTTCTTTGTATCTGGTATCATGAAATTCACTGAACTGTTTTGTCAGGTGCTGTCAAGTCAACCCACCATTGTTGTAGAGAATCAGACTAAATCATTTTGGCATGAGCCTTCCAGAAATAAGATACCCAAGATGAAGAGTTTAATGAAATTTAGTATTTGGCTTCAATTTCTTGTCAGACTGTCAAATATATATTTCATTCATTCAAAAATTTGAGTAAATCAGTTGAAATACCTGACCCTATGCTTTATTGAAAACTTGTTTCAAATATTATTGCCCAATATAAATGATATTTGGAATTTATTTGGGTGTTTTTTAAGGTATAGGATTCTTCATTGAACATTTCAAATAATAAAACTTGAAAGTACATAGTCATTTAATAAAGAGAGAGAAGTATATTTTACTACAATTAAAGTTTTCCATTATAGGCTCAGTGCAGTGGCTCACACCTGTAATCTCAGCACTTTGGGAGGCCAAGGCAGATGAATCACTTGAGGTCAGGAGTTCGAGACCAGCCTGGCCAACCAAAATACTGAAACCCCATCTCTACTAAAAATGTAAAAATTAGCTGGGCATGGTGGCAGGCGCCTGTAATCCCAGCTACTTGGGAGGCTGAGGCAGGAGAATCCCTTAAACCCAGGAGGTGGAGGTTACAGTGAGCCAAGATCGTGCCACTGCACTCCAGCCTGGGCAACAGGGCGAGACTCTGTCTCAAAAAAATAATCAATTTTGATTGAACTATCTTTGTTTCCAAAGGCTATTAAAAGCCAAGTTATATTTAATTATGTTTCTTAAGTCTTTAATTAATGAAATGTTTATTAATTTTCTGAATAATTATATGAATGAAAAAACCTTATCTTTCTGATCAATAGTTATTTAAAAGGCAATATTATAGTGTAGACTTAAATGCCTCAAACTTTTCACTTACATATTTTGATACAGGGGCTTTTTTGTTGATATTTCTGCCAAATACATAAGAAATATTTTCCCAACTTGTACCGTAGCTATGGTGTAGCATTGAAAAAGACTGTAACAAAAAGCTTCTTGGGCCGGGCGCGGTGGCTCAAGCCTGTAATCCCAGCACTTTGGGAGGCCGAGCTGGGTGGATCACGAGGTCAGGAGATCGAGACCATCCTGGCTAACACGGTGAAACCCCATCTCTACTAAAAAATACAAAAAACTAGCCGGGCGAGGTGGTGGGCGCCTGTAGTCCCAGCTACTCAGGAGGCTGAGGCAGGAGAATGGCGTGAACCCAGGAGGCGGAGCTTGCAGTGAGCCGAGATCCGGCCACTGCACTCCAGCCTGGGCGACAGAGCGAGACTCCGTCTCAAAAAAAAAAAAAAGCTTCTTGGTGCAATTAAAGGTCACTTGTACATATTGTAATAGGCTACTCATTTACAAGATCTTTGTGAAGGGTCAGTGCTATAGCATGAAATGGATTGCCCTTGTTGGTTCTGTAAATAAATGGATCAACTTATCTTGTAGTCAGTAGGCAAAGGAAAAGGCTAGCACACAGTAGCTTATTAATATTTTTACAAACAAATTGCTAAAACGTTGACCAAAACCAAATGCAATAGGACTATATCCTTGACATGAATAATAATAGAAAATTATTAAAATACATAATTACAGCTTTTAAGGGAAAATTGATTACACGTATATATACATGTATGTACTTTTTTCTTTAACATATGAACCATATTTAAGTGTAGCAAAACACAACACAGTGATAGTGTTCAACTCTCCTTTACCATAAAACTAGCATGTTTCAAAACAGTTGGGGAAGTATACAGTATATCTTTTCTGTATTGAGATTCAAAATTTGTCATGCATAAGTATGAAAAAGGAATCCAACTAGATGTGATTCATTTTAGTTATATTTCATAGCCTTTTCAGTAGTCTTAGAAAAAAATGGTGGTTCAGATAAAGTGTTAGTGATGATCTATTCTGAATGAATTAGTAATGATCTGTACTAAATACAAAGAAAATATTTTCTTTTAACTGTTTTAATACACTTAGATTTTGCATGTTATGTATGTATATTTGTGAGATACAAGTCATTGTTTAATCTCAAATTTTTAAAATATAATGAAATATATTTGTTCAACACTTCCTAGATTCTTCCCTCTATACTTGCATATTCAGACACAGCAACTCCCCGCCCACACACACACACCCTTAATATTTTTTTATTGCTGTGTACTATTAAAAAAATGAAATTTCTAGTCAATCTCAAACAATACCTTATAGGATTAACAAAAGTAATTTAACAGTGGGTTTGAATCAATAATCAAATAATGATAAATTAACCTTTAAAAACCTGCAGGACTGATTGGTCTATAAAAATACTAAGGCCAAAAGCCAATCATGAAAAAAGTAGCCAAGAAGAGCGCTATTTCAGGTAATCTTTTTTGCTTTTTATTTAGCTCTTGAATATCCATTCTGTACTGTTTTGTTTGTTTTGTTTTGCCATACTTTAGTACATGGAAAACATCGTGCATTTCTTTTATAAAGTATCAAACTTTGAGAAATGTTGTTCTTTTAGAGCATAGATGTTATGAACGTAGGTATTTTTATTCATCATTGTATCTCCTTTTCCTAGTTCATTGCCTGATCATATAGGTGCTCGTCAAATATTGCATGAATGGATAAATGAATGAATGTCCTCTTGATATTGCTCAAAACATATAAAAGGGTGTGACCATTAAAAAATTCATTTCAGTTATATGGAATAGTTTGATAGTGTGAATACAGTTTTCTGTAGATGCTTAATATACTTGTAAGGTTTTACATAAGTAAAATAACCTTCAAAAAATATCAGCTAATAATACAATGAGCTGTTATTGTTGAAAACAGTTCATGAGACTTACGAGTTACAGATGAAATAATTATGTAAAATGGAATTTTAACACATTTTGCATATTCTACACTTTTATTTAAATACACATTATCAGTAAAGTAACTGATATCACTTCCATAACAGAATCTAGGACTAATCCTTATTGAAAAATCATCCCATTGATCTCTTTATTATACACTCGAAGCTGACCAAATTCCAGTCTAGTTCTTCAGTTTGGCTTCTTCAGAATTTCCTCCTGAGAAACCATTCTGATCCAAACAGAAATTTAAATTAAGGCCAACTATATTTAGGAGAAAAGCTGTAAATTTACAGTGTGTGATTTATAACTGAATGCATTTCATTAAGATATGTTATTGACTTAATGTGTAATTCCGTCAAAAACAAAAAAGTACATGTAAAGATATTTTGGAAATGTTATCTACTCTTAGTAGTACTATAGACATGAGCAATTAATTTGGCATTCAATTATTATAACATTCCAATCATTTTATTGGAAAGGTTATTAAGCTTTTGTCCATGTAAAAGTGGGTAAGTAAAGGGCAATATTAAAGCAACTATGCCCATGTTGCAATAGAACATGTACTTAGCAAACTATGGTCCATGGGGCAAATCCAGCTCCATGAGTTTTTTTTTAAATACATTTTATTGTAACAGCCATTCCTATCATTTTGTATATGGCTGTTTTCACAGTGCATCACTAAGTTGAGATCTTATGGCCTGCGAAGCCAAAAATATTTTCTGTCTCGTCATTCACAAAGAAAATGTTCTGTGAAGAAGAACCCCTACTTTAAAGAGCCACATACTTTACAGAAAATTTACTGAGAGAGTTGTCAATTTGGTGATAATGATTTATACTCTTAAAATTAAGCTTTATTTGAAAAATAACAAACACATACAATCATTTGCTGTGTAATTTGCACTTGTAGAATTTAATGCGATGTCTTTCAGAAAATACCTAGATTTTTCAAACAGTCTGCGTTAATGTCTGTCCGAGAAAATACCTAGATTTCATAAAAGGTTAAAATTGGAAGGGAGCTTAAAGTGCTTCAAAGCCAGCTTCTCATTGTGTGCACATATTTTCTCATCCAGCCTCTCTGTAATCATGTGGAACTCACTTTCTTAGAGGCACCTCATTTCAGACTCTACCAGATTCTTTCAAATGCTAAAGCGACCTCTTAACCATTAGTACTAATTCAGTTTTCTGAAGCCACAGATAAATTGCTATTTTCGATATAATGTTACTGGATTGATAATAAATACCTAATATATGAGAAACAATTGTAATGTATAAATATATATTAGTGTTCCTTTGATTTATATTTCTTTTATAAAACATTATAAATTTAATTAACCGTTTTATGATGTTTATTATACATTTAACTTAGAACCTTAAGCGCAACATCCTTTAAAGAAACCTTTTTTAAAATAAAGCATTAACTAGAAATGTTAAAAGTTTTGAATTCTGAAATTAAAATGCTTTATTAATTGTAGCTTCATACAATTTAAATATTAAAATTCAGTGTTTTCATTTGTAGCATGTTTGAATACACAAACGACTTCAGATTATTAAAAGTTATAAAATCAACTTTAAATGTGATATTGTTGAGTTTTTTGTTATAATCTACTTAAGATTTTTTTACTATACAGTAAATTAATCAAAATATAACATTAAACTTTTAATAACTGAATATTGAGAGGCATAAGGATACATTTCTATATTGGGCATAAGGATATTTTGATTTTATTAGCAGAAGTATATGCAAAAAGTTTAACTGTTCATTAGCCACACTATCCAGTGTCTTATAATTGATAGTCAAAATAGTAAGTTTAAGTGGGTGCTATGAAGTCTTGCTTGCTTATATTCATTTTTTTAATGTAGGAATTTCTTAGACAAGTAAACAAGATCTTACTGAAGTTTAAAATGTGAATATATTATTAAAAGTAATGTTGGTCCTGGTAAGATTATTTTTAAGCTATAGGATGCTGTAGTTGGAATATTTTGGCATTTTGGTTAGGAAATTTAAACACGAGGACATTTTTACTTAGTAATTGCTTTTATTTAAGTTAATGTAAGTTATTATATTTTAAAATAATTATATAAACACCAATGTCCTTGCCATTTGAAAATTATGTAAAACAAAACTTCTTTTCAAAGGTGTTTATAATGTAGAATAGAATAGAAGATTGCATGAAATCACACAAAGAACTCAACGTACTGTTTTCAGCCTAATAAAAATGTTGTAAAAATACTTGTAAGCTTGAAAATCACACTAGCTATTCTTGTTTCAAATTCTGTTTAATATATTGTTCTGTATGATTTTATAATAAACAGATTACTCCTTGAACAGGAATTAAGAATAAAGCTGCCAGGAAGGGGTTTTGTTGTCAGAGTAGTTCCCGCCTCATGTTTTGTAAGAGATTTCATGGTCCCATTGTAAAGAGTAGATGATTTAAAACGTGTTCCCAAGATAAACTTTCCCATTGTCATTAATGAGGATGGATAATACTGAGTGACAAGTGCATTAGGAATGACACAGAAAGAGCTGTTAGATTTGTCAGAGCGTATCACTTCAGGCATTGACACTTGCGGACATTCTTTTTGTGGATATTTGGTTGGGGGGGGGGAGTCTGATTTAAAGATACCAAAGTTTGTGTTCGCTAATAGAATAATGTATTTTACAATGTATAAGTATATATTTTTCAGTGTTTAGGAAATATTTGGAAAGTTATTTAGATTAGGTTCTTCCACATTTTAAGTTCATGCTTTTATTATATCCTGATTTCTTCCTGAGAAAGTCATCAAACTGTAAGACATTTGAATATTAAAGTGGTCCCATAAAACTAAATTCTTCTTCTAAAAAGTCTTATCTCTGGAAATATCTAGCTGAAGGAAAGATACTAAAAATTATACAAATTTTAAAAAAACATTTTGCTATCCTCTGTATCTAAAAGGGTACTCCTTACTATACATCACCTTGAGAATAAAGGTTTTGAAATAAGAAAATACATATCATTTTATTGTCTCTTTGAAAATACATTACAGAAACATGTTTTAAATATTAATCAATGAACAATTAATAATGTATGACTTTTCTGGTATGTAAAGTATTTCCAAACTGTAGTATGCATCTCAATTTCGATTTTGAACATGCAATTGGTCACTTTTTCGCCTTGATTCATCTTTCGTGCTGCCAACCAAATTTTGTCTCTGTATACCTTTTTGACACTAATAATGACTGAGTCTGTTCATTTGAGTTCAAGATTTCCCAAGCGGCAGTTTGGAGCTGGGATAAACTATCTATCATGATTGCATACCACTAATCTGTCTCAACCAAACCACCCTGTGACTGAAATTATACTTGACAGTTTACCTCTTCTTGATGAGCCTGAGGTGAACATAGCTACAGACCATCCCTGGGAGGACATGGCAACTACTCCATATGCTAGGGAGGATCCTTTTATTTGTGACACAAGACTTAAACTATGCCTGTAGCAGAAGGGAGATCTCTCTCTCTCTCTCTTGCTCTCTGTCTTGCTCTCTCTAATATTTTTAATTTTCAGTAGTATTACTTCTGTACTATAAAACTTTTCACACAGATATGTTTGGTAAATACTTTCTACCATTACAAATACCTCCTCTAGGTTAGCTTCACCGTGTGTTTAAAAACTATAAAGTCATTTTTCAAAGTATTTATGCTTTCTAAAATATTCTATTATTGATACACCATAATCATCAAATATCAAAAATTCTTATTAATATTTGACTCTTACCAGTAATTGACCAGTTCTCGAAACGTCTCAATAAATTTTTATATTATAAAAATGTTTAATCCTCTGTCTTCCTTTTTTTTTTTTTTTTTTTTTTTTTTTAAAGACAGAGTCTCACTCTGTGTGACCCAGGCTGGAGTTCAGTGGCACAATCATGGCTCACTGCATCCTCAACCTTCCAGACTAAATTGATCCTCCCACCTCAGCCTCCCAAGTAGCTGGGACTACAGGCATGTGTCACCATGCCCAGCTGATTTTTCTATTTTTTGTAGAGACAGGATTTCACTATGTTGCCCAGGCTGGTCTTGAACTCCTGGGCTCAAGCAGAGCACCTGCCTAGGCCTCTCAAAGTGCTGGGATTACAGGTGTGAGCCAACGCGCCCAGCTTAATTCTCTCATTTTAACATAAAATATTTTTCAAAATAAGTTTCTATTTTTTTTTTTTTTTTTGATACAGAGTCTCACTCTGTACCCCAGGCTGGAGTACAGTGATACGATCTAGGCTTACTGCAACCTCTGCCTCCTGGGTTCGAGTGATTCTCATGCCTCAGCCTCCCGAGTAGCTGGGATTACAGGAGTGGGCCACCACACCCGGCTAATTTTTGTGTTTTTAGTAGAGACAGTGTTACACCATGTTAAACAGGCTGGTCTTAAACTCCTGACCTCAGGTGATCCTCCCACCTCAGCTTCAAAAAGTTCTGGGATTACAGGCATGAGCTACCACACCCGGCCTTCAAATTGTTTAAAGATTTTTAAAAATAGATTTGAAGAGAATAATAAATTGAACACTATAGCAGAAAACATTTTAATTGTTTTGATAAAGATTCTTTATGTAGTCTGGGTGCAGTGGCTCACACCTGTAATCCCAACACTTTGGGAGGCCAAGGAAGGTGGATCACGAGATCAGGAGATTGAGACCATTCTGGCCAACATGGTGAAACCCTGTCTCTACTAAAAATAGGAAAATTAGCCGAGCGTGGTGGTGTGCACCTACAGTCCCAGCTACTCAGGAGGCTGAGGCAGGAGAATCACTTGAACCCGGGAGGCAGAGATTGCAGTGAGCCAAGATCACACCACTGTACTCCAGCCTGGACACCAGAGTGAGATTCTGTCTCAAAAAAAAAAGTTTCCTTACGTAGACTTAATTACCATTTTTACTGTCACCGTGTAAAGTCTAGAGAAAAATGGCTACCTAAGAAAATGAACTTATTTACTCTTTACTGCCTTTCATCTTTTTTGTGAAAATATCTTTCTTTTGGAATTAGGAAATATCAGCATTTTGAGATGATGGACAAAGAGTGATTAAAGGACTTACTAATGCCCTGAAAATAAGAATAATCTGAAGTAATTTTCAAAAATGTATTAATATGTGGAGGATTTAATAGTAAGGCTAGTTTTTACAGCCAGCATGGAGGACCAAGTGAACAACAGACAAATTGTAAAAGATTGAGGTTATTTAAACAAAGGCTTTGGGTAAACAAAGTCTTTGGGATATTAAAATGCTTTCTCATAGACCACGTATAGATAAGTTTATTATAAAATGCAGTCTATTTTCATTTGTCCTGGATTGTTGAAATGTGATCCTACCTGAAGATGTTTAGATGGCCTGAAAAGGTTGGCCCATAGAGTCTATTATGTCATTGGAGCAAGCACTTAATAAGTTTATTTCTCATTATCCATTAAGTTTATTATTCCCTTGGAAAGATTCCTTTTAGTATAGGGAGTATTTTCTATAATCTTATGAAGCAGTAGTCTAATCACTAATGCATTCTACACAAAGTTTTCTAAAGCACCTAATGTCAAATAACCATCAACTTTATCTTAGAAGTTCATGGAAATTAATCTCCTGACATCACAGAAGTGATTACTTAGTATAGTGAGTGAAACAGTCTTATATTTTTGGATGTAACATAATTTATTTTTAACAAGCTTAATCTGTGTTAATTTTATTATTTTTCTACATTATTTGTATTTTAACTAATAGTTAGCAGTGAGCCATGTAAGATTTCGGTAACACCATTTAAAATAAGTATCCTGAAGAAAACTGTCAAATAAAGTTTATATAATTCCACATTTTTAAAACTTCAACTATAAAACTTCTACCAGTAAACTGCATAATATAATCTAGTGACATGTATTTCTGAATAAGAGGGAGTACTATGAAAGTAACTTAGTAAACTATTTATATATATTCTTTATACCAAAAGCAGTTAAAATGTCTAACTTAAACACTCATGCTAGGCAGACTGAATTTTGTGCTAAATTTTAACTTAGGCAGTAAAATCTATGATCCATTTATCTTATCATACTCTGTTACTCCTCCCATCTAATTATCTGATCATTACGTGTACTTTTTTATTGTAAGATGCATCTGCATCATTTTTAAAATAAAATTGCTCCCATTTTTCCCACAAGCATTTATTTTCTAATTAGAAGAATTCGTATAACATTGCTGTATAGTAAATATTCAAAAATATTTAAATGGTAAATATTGAATAGA